ACTAAAGTCTATATGCATCTGATATCTGTAACCGCATGTCATTTATGAAACTGTGCTATCTGTGCTAGCAGGGTTCCAATTAGAGGTTCACCGAAGCTTTGGAATCACCGCAGTTCCCCTCTCTTGATAGAAATCTTACCCTTATTTGTGATCTGTGAAGCTAAGTTAATATGAATATTTTCATCTCCACTTTAATGCCCCTCATTTACATTCAGGATGCTATCGCTAACCTTTTGTAAGTGCCAGATAAAAGACTAAAGGCGAAGCTCAAACGCAATATTGCCTGTGATTGGAAGCCTTCGGCAGACAATGGTTTACTTTGGCGGCGGCGTCCTTGTTGAATGGATTCTTATTATTTTATATCAGCGGGAGGAAATATGTTTGCTTATGGATGATCTACTCGAGGTTGCTCCTTTCTAAGCTACAGCATTCATACTGCCACCTGCCCCAAATACATATGAATAAGGACTCAAGACTTCACAAAGGCAGCTTTGGCATGCATCAAAAGTTCTTAATAAGATACTTTACCTGCAAGGCACCCCATAAGTGACTGCAGCGCCAGCAGTTTCCATAGCAACATCATCTTCAATTTTGTAGGGTCAAAATGGTCTCACATCCAATCACAAATGTATGGAATCCGATTTGCACCTCTCTGGTTTTCCAATCTGGAGAGAAAGAAACAGGTGAGATGAGTTGGCAGCAAAGGTTCTCATTAGCAGCACCTTTAAAAAATCAGTAAACGTCTTTTTTTTTTTTTTTCTCATGTCACACGGTGCGAAACAAAATACCAGCAGGAAAGATCGCAGTGAGATGCATTAATTATGAAGAGCATTTATAGTCAGTTAACTGAGCCCAAACCTGTGACTTTATGTTACATTTAATTAACACTATGTATGGACTTCCCCAAAAAAACTCTTACTTTCACTTTCCTGAAAGTTGCATCACAAAAAAAAATTGGCTTCAGTGTTCAGGCTGGGATGGTGGGCACATGAACACTAAAAAAATAGCTTATATACATTCATTTCCATATCCAGCAACACCAGGGACAGCCACTTTTAAGTCAATCTGAAAGCAAAGCCGCTCCTATAAGTTCTCATAGAGTTGTTCTTGCTTGAAGCCGTACAGCTTTCATGCTCATAAAAGTGCGAAAGATGGAAAACGCCGAAGAGTTTCACAACAGTTGCGTTGCTTTTACCTCGACACAGACTATATCTCCACGGAGCGAGAATTAAAACTCAAAAGTTTGTCGAGTGTCAGGAAGGTAGCACTCAGTGTCTCAAACCTGAGAAACAAAAAAAGGCTGAAGGCATGAATGAGGCTAAGGTGAAGAAAAAAAAAAATGTCAAAAGACTGTCACTACTCATGAAAATGCTTTGTTTATTTCTGTATTTGTCAAAGAGGAAAACACAAGCATTTTCAAGAATTGAGTGCGGAAGAGGATTAGAGTCACATCATTGCTTTAGTCGGTGGTCTGCATTAAAAAGAGAATCAGTTACACAAAAATTCTCCTCANTGGTACTTATGTCCAAACAAATGAACTGCTGAAGGAAAACAAATCCAGCCAGCAAACCTCATAAAAAAGGTATTTGGACAGACGTCCATGTTATTTTCTGTGTCTCTATGCTGTCATCCCTCCAGGATGAAATGACATTATTACTGTGAGGATAATGCAGTTACTGGTAATTGTCAAACACGAGTGGGGCTATAGATAAAAAAAATGTACAAGATAAAGTCCGGTTGCCCTTGATGCAGCCATCTCTGAGGCATCAACTCCACTCAGAGGGTTCGGCTGGTCCGTGATGGCCAGCTGTGGGATCATCGTTAGACCCACCGTAAGATGAGCAGAGACGCGCATGGGCAGCTCCAAACCTAACGTAGATCAAGGTTTCTTTAAACAAATCTGCTCATCGTATGTTTCGAGTTCGGGCCAAATGCGCGCTGAGTAATGAGCAGGAGGGCTTCAGCGGAACACGGAGCTCATCAATAGAGCCTTTCTCTTCATCTTGATTCGTATAATACGTGTTGATTAAACACTGAGTGATTCCTGCGATGCTCTCTGGTGACCCCTCCTATTTGTAAAGGAGACAAATTAAAGTCCTCCATCAAATTGTGATCAATGCCAGAGAGCCTCTGGCTGAAATGGGCACCACAGTATAATGAAGCTATAATTCAACTTTACTGCATGCTAAATGAATGATGGACACTTGAAAGAAGCCAGGAAGGATTTCCTGTTAACTCATTGCCTCCTTTATGTGTCAACCTGAGTGATTAACCTGGATTTAATCTTTTACACAATAATTACAGTCACTACAACATTCCCGGTGTTATTTTTTTATGTATAGTGTTGATTGATTGATCCATTCACTGGTTCACTGATTTCCAGACTGATTGGTGAATTAATGCATCAGTTTAATGCTCTCAGAT